TTAATTAGCCTCTGTCGGTTCATTATGCATAACCGTGCTGTAGATAGATCTCGATGAACTGACTTTAGACCGAAACCGAGTCGAGTTGCGCTTTTTTTGACTCGTTTCGGTCTCTGTTATGAAAAAAATAAAACTGATAAGAACTGAGGAGAAAAACGAAAAACACATCTCAATGTGTTTATAAATGGCTGGATCATTTAAGTCACTTTTTACCGGTTTGAAAAGAAATCATGACTTATGAAAACTCAAAATACATTGTCAACAGAGGTCAGGCGAAAAAAAATCATAAAAATGTGATTTTTTATTTCAATCTCTTCATAATGAATTTATATTTTTCTTCACTTGTCTAAGTGACAAATGCTATTCCAAATATGTCGCACAACTCTCCTTTGGCTTATCAAAAAATGAAAGTTACTATGCATGTGATTGGTCGAAAATATCATTTGATACGGATTATACGAATTGAGTTTTAAAACGTAGAAAAGCCAGGTAACAGGGAAAAAAAGGTAGTTACGCTTCAGTTGTCTTTGTCCGGTAAAAACAAGTTTGTTTTTTATTTGCAAAATTGTTTCAGACGTGTAGCTACTTTTTCGTTATATTATCGGTAAGCTTATTTTTCTCTTTTAACAATACTAAGTACTAATATATAGTAGTTTAAATTTATTCTTTACTACTTTTTAATCATATAATCTTTCATGACTTGATACTTCTACACTATATGCAAAGCACTTATCTGCATGCATGTTGTATCACACATGAAAACCACTGTTTGGATGAAGACGAGGCATATTCTGTAGAATTACCCATAACTTGCGTCCCTTATTCATTCAAATTCGAAAAAAAAAGAACTTTAATGGTTCTAAGAACCCTTGACCATCAAATACATCAACCACACATTTTGCATTTAAATTAATCTCAAGAGTTGAATTCGTTTAAACGCATTGAATCACTTAAAAAAACAAGGAAAATAATAAATGATTGTTAAACATAGTAACATCCGTTTACTGAAATACGTGTAAAAATATGTTTTCTTAGCTGATCTTTCCGTGTCAATATACATTTTTATCATTGAACCAAGGGAGAGACTTGATAGTTCGTATTTTACATAATTTAAGATAGTTCAAGATACTTTATCGTACTTTAATGTACATTCCCGTGTATCATCGCACTTGAATGTGCTTTATCATGCATCATTGTGCTTGAATGTACTTTGTTGTTCTTTGCTGTACATCATTGTACTTTGCTGTTCTTTGCTATACATCATCGTATTTTGCCGTGCATCATTGTGCTCGACTGTACTTTGCTGTGCATCACTGCACTTTGCCGTTCTTAGCCATAATTCACCTAAGCGTATTGTGCTATAACATACCTTGTCGTACTTTAAGGTACTTTAATATAATTCAAGATGGTTTATGTACTTTAGGATAATTCACCGTACTTTAACATACTTAAGAATACTTAAATATAGTTTAATGAAATTCGTTGTATTTCAGTGCACTTTCTTTTAATTTCTGTCTTTTTAGACTAAACTTTCTATTTATATCAAAATTACACTAACCAAAGAGGAGCTATATAATCAGCAAAGATAAAATATAGTGCATTGTTTATTATATTAATTACTAGAACCAATAGGTTTGAAAAACTATTTATAGTAACATTTAGCCCGTTCAATACTGAATCTAATGATATATATTTTTGAAACGTTTTCTGTTCTTCAACAACGGCTAAATCGATAAAATACAAAACGTGCCGTAAAATTTTGTCCGCTGGACAAAAACTGTTTCTGTCATAAAAACTGAATCGGTTGACCGTTGATGTTTTCCATATAGTAGATTTGTAGCTCGTCTCGAGAGCTATCGAAATCACTATTTGGATGTCCATTAAAAGCGGTTTTTGATGAAGGAAAACGAAAAACAAAAAGTGCCTTAAAATCTTGTCCTCCACTTTAGTTGAAGCTATAAATGACTTTTCTAGAAACTTCTGTAGAAAACAGTTTTTTTTTCTGCTTTCTTTTTGCTTCGAAACCATTTTTCAACAGTTAGAAAATTGATTACACAAATTTCAAATCACGTACTAGAAAAGCATATAATATACGATTCGATGCATCTTCATTTCCTCTTTCGGATGATAAAAGCCACAGCTCATTATTTTCTGTTTCTATCACAAGTCATTCAAAAAATATCCACTGAATAGACATTACTATAACCGAAACATATGATAGAAAAATAAGTTTTTATCGAAATTTTATTATTATGATATTAGTTTAAGTATGATCAAATAGTATAGAAAACTAGAGCATTCTTTTCTCTATTAGACTATATAGAGAGAAAGTTTCTTAAAGCTTACTATACGATATTAAAGTGTCACTGTCACTACCTTTGGTATGTCCTAAGTCGATTCTTGATATCTATAATCACGTGCCCAGATAGATGTGCAATCAAAACTCTCATCTCCAGGTGTCTCTCTTCCAGTTTTTCTTAACCCTTTACCCCCCCCCCCCCCCCCCAATGGGTTATACATGACCCATTTGTAGAACGATCACAGAAAATAAAGGAAGCATGAGACAGAAAAACTCCCAAGACATTATTTGTAGGAAACTTCACAAGCTATCTATTGGTAAAAAAAATATTTTGTTTCATTGCTCTGCCTTCGAGATATATGATTTACAAAATCGATAATTTTGAAAAAATGCAAAAATTCGAAATTTTTTAAACAAAATGTTCTCTACTTGCAGTCGATAGACATCTTTTGGAGCTTCTATGCGATATTAATCGATGAAGAAGTCCACTGCTGAATTAGATGTGTTTCGAAAGCTTCATGATAACTTCGAGAATTATACATACTCAGAAACACAATTGACCATGTAGTCATTGTTAGACAGATGGAGAGTAATCAAGAACAAAGTTAATATATGCGTTATAAACCTCAACTCATGAGAAGTCAAAATAGTATTTATGATGAATTAAATTCCTTTAGACGTTGCAAAATGACTCAGAGTAAGATAGGCTTAAATTTGATAATAGGTGTAAAAAAAAGCATGTATTCTTTTATGTTCATTTTTATCGGTTTACTCGTTGCGTTTTTCTTATCACTTAAACAGTACAAGATAGATGCTGCTTCTGTCCAGTCAATTATGTGGTCAAAGAACAAAAAATTAAGTCTTATGATGTCGTTCAATTCCTATTTTCTACCACATGATTTTTATATCAATCAAACTACCCTACTCCACGACTAGGATATTCGGTGGATTAGGCCACACCATTGGCATATTCGACAGGTTAATACTCTATTTATAAAGTTATTTTATCAGTGGCTCTTCGGGAACCACTATGGGGGATAAAGGGTTAATTATCGATGTAACTTTTTTTGAAACATCATATCAAAACCTAGTCTGTATTCGGTGCCAAGACTGATACTCCTTGTGAATTATTTATTTTACATGTTGAGAATCGATCTTTTTGAAGATGATATCTGAAAGATATTGAACAGTAAAAATCTGCGCCACATCTTTCAGTATCAATGCTAACCCATATCAAACAATTTAGATTCCTATTCTAAACTAAAAATTGAAATTGAAAATAATATTTCCATATAATTTGTTTCATTAGTAAGTTATCTATGTGATCTTGAATGACCATCTGAAGAGAAAGTATTGTTTTGCATTTTTCACACAGATGCATTTTCACTGAATTCAAAACATGTTTTTCAATCATGTGTGCATGTGCAACAGTAAATATGTGTTTCACTAATATTTTATACTGATAGATTGATCATTGGTATTTACACATCAAATCGACATTCAACGCAACATTATGTTACTCTTGACTGTGATCGTCTTTTGCGCTACTATTTTTCATGCGAAAAGTACTACGTACAATATTGTTAATTCAACTACGAACTGGCAAACGATTTTGACTAATCTCAAGGCAGGTGACGTTGCTATCATGCACTATGGCATCTATACGACATCCAGCTCTGGTTACTTCCAACTGACATTGAGCGGTACTCTCACGAAACCGATTATCATCCAAGGTGCACCAAATGAATTACGCCCGATTATTCAATGCCCTCAAGCCGGTGCAAATGTTCAAAATGTCATGAATATTCAAGGTTCAAATTTCATGGTGAAAGGAATAGCATTTACCAGAGGTTCAAGAGGAATTCGTGTCGGGCCGGCTGGTACGTAACGCTAGGTCTTTCAGTGTTCTTCACTATTTTTTTTGTTCTAAACTTAACATCTAGTTACAACTAATGGAATTTTCGACAATATTTACATTTACAATACCACTGGAACAGCATTTTCAGCCAATGATGCTGGCAATGAATATGTTAATATAACATTACGAAATAGTGAAATAACAAATACAAATGCTATGAGTGAGTATAGAATATGAATTGTCTCTCTTATAGTGTCTTGCTATTGTATTCACAAATGTAGGTCCTACAACGGGTGAATGTGTTTATCTCGGATGTTCCAACGATGGATGTCGAGTTCGTGATTCTATCATCGACCATAACTACTGTCATGATACACTTGGTTCATCAGAAGGATCACGAGCTGGATTCCAAGTCAAAGTAAGTCTAGATTGATTTTACTTTGTTGAACAACTGTGTACTGTTATAGTCTGGTTCATACAATGTTATTATTCGTAATAATGTTTGTTATAATGTAGTTGGGCCCTGTATTATTGTTTATGATGATTATGATCGTGGACGACATTTGATTGATGGAAATTTGGCAATCAATGCTGGAACAGGTGACCTCGGAATACAATGTACATCTGGAACGACAATCACTAATAATATTGTGATTAATGCCAGTATGTGAAAAATTTTGACATGAAAGAGTCGATCGTACTCTTTTGAGAATAGGCTTCTATAATCTTGTAATGACAGCAGCGAGTGTCATTTTTAGTGAAATATTTTGGATAATATCTTGTAACCGTTCGATGACTATAGCTTCATAAGTCAAATTTTATTAGAATGGTTGAGAGGAAAAGTTTTAACAAAAAAAAGCCAAAACATTGTCAAACATCAGGTACTTTTTTTTGTTATATCTCTCCTGAATATCATTTTTTATTCATCTTAAGTCAGCCAGAGCGATAAGATCTTTCTTTCTAAAGAAGAGCGCATTGCTGGATAAAAATAAGGAAAGCCAAGAGAACTTAAGTACTAACAACTATCAAAACTACTGATTTTATTCGTTTTCGACTATAAGATCTTGCTGGAATTGGCGTCATACAGAATTCAATTAACCCTGCTAAAAATTATATTCGAAATATAACGATTAGTCGAAATACTGTTTACATGTCGCAATTGGATGCATGTCTTCGTTTAAACGGTGTTACAAATAATAATATTATAATATCCAACAATGTACTATACTGTAGAAATCAACCATCAATCAAAGCTACAAATGATTTAACAGGTAGTTTTATACAAACACTAGCATGATATTTTTGAAGAATCTAATCTTTTTATTGTTCTAGGTGCTTCGATTTACAATAATGCTGTCAATGGTTCTATTAATGCTGCAGGCATTCCACAAAATGGAACGTTCATGGTCTCCAACAATGTCTTCTCCGATGCTGCAGCCAGGAACTTTTATCCAGCAGTAGGATCTCCGTTGATCAATGCAGGTGCGAATCCATTGCAACAAGCTCTTTATGATTACAATGGAATGACGCGATCCAACACAATACCAACAGTTGGTGCATATGTAAGCAGACCTCAAATTAGTTTATTGAATCATTACTAATTCGATATGTTTCTCTATTCTTTAGGAATATTCTACTACAAATAATCCCGGCTGTGCAACAACAAACAGTTTTAAATGCGGCTTATCCACAGCTGCTGTACCAGAATATCCTCTAATCCCTTGAATGTTGACGTGATCTTACCCGAAACTTTATCCATTTTCATTTTAACGCTCTACAAACCGAACATTGTAAGGAAGTTTGCTTTTTTTAGATATGATTTCTTAACGTATTGCAGACTGTGCTTATAACAGTAATGTTGCACCTACCCATGTACACTGTCTATGCATTATTCTCTATCCTTTTTTCATCTCTCTTTCTTTTCGTCTCTGCATACATATATAACTTTGTAGTTTAATTTAGTCCATTTATTCATTCATTTTGAAAATAAAGATTTTGCGCAAATATGCTAAGGTACATATATATATACATAAATAAATATGAAGAGATATATATCTAAGTGCAAAAAAAGCAAAGAAAATAGAACCGTACTAGTTGGTGATGCTGCAAAATAACATAAAAAGGAAAAAACATGCATAGTAACAATCAAGAACTTAATCATATTCAATTCAATTATCTTAACATTCATATTAATCAGAATCTCTATTCCATTGATACTCGAACATTTTATATTAAAGTCTTTTGATAACGAAACTCGAAATTGATTTTAGCATAGAATCCTTTTAAGAAAAAAGCCTCTAAATAATCCTTCAGCATATAATATTTATTTGATATATATAACGATCATAGTCCATCCATAAGTGAATAGATTCTTTCTATTTAATAATATGATTGATTCACAAATATAAAGAATACTTTTGGACAAACCATATATTTTTGATTTTCAAACAAGATAACGCTCGTCGTTACGACTCGCTTGACCCTCGACTGAACTCTTTCTATTCATCTTGGGAATTATTGTCAAATAATTCGCCGATGTATACGATGCTACTGATGCTACAATAACATTTGATTCTAACTAATTCTTTATTTTTTCAAAATAATATTTATTGTTGAAACTGTAACATTCATTGTTCATCATGCATGTTCAAAAGATCAGAAAAATGTAGGACTGCTGCCCCTCGATTGATTAATTTTACACTCATATCTGTGAAATATCTCACGAGCAATAGATCACTACCTGCTAGTCGTTAGCTTCCTGCTCATAGATTGGTTTCGATACATCTACAAACAAATGATTTACCTGTAAATAAGAGACGTTGACACATATCTCGCAGAAAACTATTTGATTTATAGCAAAATAATTCTTGATAAGAATGCTAACGAGAAGTTTCCGTCGTTAACTATCGGCTATAACTTCAATTTCAAGATATTTCTAAATGTTCCGCGTCATATCGAAATTTCTGCATATCACACTCTTAATGCTTTCACTATTAATTACAAAAGCAGAAAAGTAGAAATAGTTAAATGAACAAGGATTGGATATTGTAAAAAAAAAGCGTGCCTTAAATAAATTATACAGGCCAGCGACTAGTCGATCGTCGGCAGTCCTCTGAGGTGCCACTCACGGCTAGTCGCTACCATGTTTACATCTCCTATACCAACTAATCGTCCAATTCAGATTGCAATTCAATCAACTCTCATGGGACACTTTACGAAAGACTATTCTATTACTATAAAAAAAACTTCTCAATGAGAAATTTCAAACTAGATCTATTTAAAGAATGCCTTTGAGTAAAGTAACAAATGTCCAAGTTAACTAAGTGTTACCGTAGTATTTAATTGCTTCTTCTCTTTTATAACCAACGTTTAATGATATTCCACAAATGCATATAAATCGCTTCGCACTCTAATTCACAACATTTATATACAATTTGTTCAGTAATATTATTTGACGTTCGATTTCTATCGTTGCCGTTTGCGAAACAAGCCTTTAATGTTATATGAGCGTCTCAGTTATTTTTAGACTGGTTTTCAAAGCGATTATCTTTTCAATTTAGATCACGAAACATCCGCATTTTTTATCCACATAGAAGATATGTTAATACAAATGCGCTAACACATGCATTTCGTCAAATGTATGTTCAAGATGTTTCACTTATGCAGAAAAGTTTTTTCTCGAAAGTGATTTAGAGAAAAACTTGCTAGTTTTTGTCGCGGTGGGTGTGGGTGTGGGTGTGGGTATGGGTGTGGGGTGTGGATGTGGGCTGTGGGTGGGTGTGTGGATCTTGGGTGTGTGTGCCTCTCCGCTGCGCCCACACCCACCCACACCCCACGCCCACACCCTTCTTATTGATCGAGAAGGTATATATATATCTATCTTTACTTGATCGAAATTTAAGAATTGTTAATGAAACATCATTTACACATGATGGTATTCATAGTATGTGTTGGTCATCATTACTTTTAAAGAAATATTAACACTTGATCCAAATACAATGATATTAAAAAAGTGTTCGATTTCATCTAATGAAAATTGGTGACATGGAACATCTTCAGAAGATAGTTGATACTTATCAACAGCAGAATGGGGTTCACCAGTCTATGAATTTAATCTTCGATTATCGTTTAAATTCGTCAAATAATGGTATTTACCTATGACATATAAAAAAGATGAAATTATTCGTGATCTGAAATACAAAGATAATTTTCTTGCTATGCCTATTTTTAACAAACATAAAGAAGAAAGTCGTTTTGATTTACGTTCATCAACAACATTCGAAATGTATTTGGTCAGTTCAAATTCATGGACGTTGTCGTTGTTGTTCAATGGTTAGTTATGGATCATGATGATTGTCGATTCTATCATATTTCAGTTGATGGACAACGTTTAAAATCGAATAAATACGATCAACATCAACGACTTGAAGATATGCTTCCATGAGGTGACAATGATATGGTCGCCTTAACCAAAAAAAAAGTGTTAATTTGCATGGAATTTAATAAGAAAAAAAAATTCGAACAAATAGACTTTTCTGGATTAAGAGATAAATTTTTTTTTTTGTGTACTTATATACATCGTAAAATAAACTCGATTAGCATCACATGAATGATGAATTTATATTTACAAAAAAAACAATAATCGTCATTTCCAAGTAAAGTAATAGATTGTTAAGGGAATGATTTCGTAATGATGGAAGTTTTTTTTTTATGAATATTTTATGTCTTTCAACTTCATCCGCTCAACAAATATTTTGTCTGTCTATTTATAGTGGCTCTATTCCTGTTATTCGATTCTATATCAAGAGTATTATATATTCGTATTTCAATACTTATTCACAAGCAACGATTTATATGAAACTATATATCACATGACAATTGTTTCTATATGATTAGCTAATCAAATATTTAAATCATAAATTGATGAATTTAATTTTCAAGTTTGATACTACTAGATGTGTTGGTATACTAAATGATTGGCTTCATGACTAACATTGCCAATAAATATGTATGATAAGTGGATATCGAAGGAATACTCAAACCCTCATCTATTCCCTCACATCTGGATCACATAAGGAATGCAGTAGTGAAACAATGAACACAGTCATAAGTATTTGAAAGTGACTTGAACCAGTTCTTATGTTAACTTTGAATAAGAAGAAAACTTTTATTACAGAAACTAAATCGAATCAAAAATTCACTATACATAATTTTTTGACATTTCCATCCCAAGCAAACCTTGAAAAGCCAACGACGAGTGGTCGAAACTTGAAAAAATATATTTTCTTCTCGTTCTGTTCGAATTTCACGTCCTCGGAAGCTCTATTCCATCGCATATTTATTTTCGGTTTCTCGAACACATTTAAGTCAGTTGAAGCTCATCAAGATATCAACTGCTCGGCGGGAGTAAACTTATCGAAAAAACATAATTTCGACTGCTCGTTTTAGCTTTGATTTGGTTTTCGAGTGAGTTTTTTTACTCTTATTGCATTATCCTCATTGAAGAATTTTTGCTTGCTATATGCTTTTACATGGTTTTATGGTTTAACCAATATGATTTCTAATCTACAACTAGAGCCATGATAGAAATATTTAAATTTAATCGAAATAGATATGTCGAAATTGTTGTTAATCTAGTTTCGATATTTTTTTTGATTGCTTTTTTCATATAGTCTAATCAATTCTAATGTAATTTATGTTTTAGTATAAATCTTCTATTTAATACAATGAAACTTATAACGGATAGAATTGCTTTCGTTTATAATATATCTAAGATTAAAAGGTCAAGCTTTGTAACTCGAAGTACATACGTTCGAATCATCTCTTCAGCGGAAATATCGGATAGATATCGAGAAGTCAAAAAAAATCCGATACAGAAAACGAAAATTTTCTCGAACTTCACAAAATTTTCGAGAGCGCTAGGAATATCGACTACTCGAAGTTCGTCGAATTTGACCCATTTGTCGATGGAAACTCTGGATCGCTTCAAGAAATACAATCAAAGCATCATTTTCTCATTTCTTTTCTGCTGATAAGATTAAGAAACGAGGAAAAAAAAGCGACATAGAGAAAACAAACAATAGTAGAGGAAAAGGATCATAATGGCCTTCGTTGCGTTTAGAAAGAGCAAGAAGATATGAGTCTGTAAAAAACGTAGATCTGCAACAACAATCTGACAGTTCGATATCATATTAATTGAAATGTAAATAACATATCAGTTTCAATCAAGGGGGAAACGGCGGATTGCGTATTTTTGGGATTTTCAGGATTTTTTCCGTATTTTTAGGATTTTTTCCGTATTTTTAGGATTTCTTTCGTATTTTTAAGATTTTGCGGATTGCCAGAAGATTTTGGGATTTTCGTGGGATTTCTGGATTCTCACGAGATTTCATGGATTTTTACAGGATTTTCGGGATTTTTGTCGTACTTCAGAGGTTTTGCACAGAATCTTATAATGAGAGACAATAGGTTGAGTCATAGTAAAAAATAAATCTGTCATCGCCAGTTACCTAGACACGTCACTTGTTATGATTGTTATCGCACCAACTGGGACTTCAGAGGACATTAGTCTATCGTATTTTATTGAAAAAAACAGAGCAAAGAAAAACAACAAAAATCAGAAAAAATGAAAAAGAAAGAACAAAAACTATCTACCTACAAGGGGGAAAAAGCGGATTATTTTGGATTTGAATCCCGAGAAAATCCAAAAAAATCCCAAGAAATCCCAAAAAACCCGAAAAGTCAAAATCGAAAGCAGTTTTCAGCAATATTTTTCGATCATATTCTCAAGTGTTTCGAACATAAATAGGCAGTTTTAAGTCCTCAATGGCTATCCTATGAGAGTACCCGTAAGTCCTTAACTGCTGTTCTATGGGGGTACCCATAGGTCCTCAAGGGCTATCCTATAGGAGTATCCATAATTCTTCAAGGGCTATCCTATGGGAGTACCCATAGGTCCTCATAGCCTATCCTATAGGGTACCCACAAGTCTTCAAGGGCTACCCTATGGGAGCTACTATAAGTTCTCATGGCCTATTCTTTGGCGGTACCCATAGATCCTCAACGGCTGTCTTACAGTGGCGCTTATAAGTGTGCGAGAGCCCCAGTTCAGTTTGCCGCGGTGGAGATGATCAGCCAGCTCTCATTCACATGAGATGCTACTCTCTAGCACCTCTTCAATTGAGCTCTCGGAAGTCGTGGATCTGAAGGTGTCATGAACCAAACGTTGAACCAATCTTTGATAAAAGAGTAACTCAAAATTGACCCAAACTTGTGAAGCGCAATCTCGTCGACGTAATACTAATTGTGAAGTAAAACTACTCCTTTAGGTGACTCAATGATGTTGAGCTAAGAAGAACAGTCCACTTTTACTTCTTTAAGGAAAAATCAGGTACACGATTCTTACATTACCTTTACACTAGTCCCGTACCACATTCAACTTCAGCTGCTAGATGACGTACGAGTAGCATCCTTATTATTGTCTGCCAGGTCTTGTGATTAAAAACCCTTGAAAACCTGTGACGACTAACGCTAGATATCTCCTGAACAGTCAGCAGTACCCGACACTCTTCCATGGGATAACCCTTGAAGAGTAACCAGAACTACCGCAAGACAGTCCTTGAAAAGTTAACGATACCAAACCTCGATAGCCGTTGGGAGCTTATGGGCGCTGCTCATGGAAAGCGCTTGAAGATTTATGGTTAGCTCCACAGGAAAGCGCTTGAGGACCTATGAGTACCTTCATACGACAGGCGATGATGACTTATGATAACTGCATAGGATAGGCCATAAGCACTTATGGGTATTCCATAAGATAAGCCATGAGGACTTATGGGTACCCATAAAATAGGGCATGAGGACCTATGGGTGTCCCGTTGGATAGACCAAGAGGACTCATGGGCACCCCATAGGACAGCGCTTGGAGACTTATGGGTACCCCATAAGATAGTCCATGAGGACCTATGAGTGACCCATAGGATAGGGCATGAGGAACTATGGGTACCCCTATAGAATAGCCCTAAAAAGTAGCACACTTTGAACGTTTTGCGACACCTTTTTACATGCACTTTGACGAGATGCCTAGTCAAAATCCTTGAAGAATGCCACTGTGGTGAATGAGAGACGGCAACCAAATTATTCCAAATAATGTATCTGGTGGTTATAGAACGTTGTTTTACAATAGGAAATACGGCATTCGAACGATAGACAAGAAAGGAGAAGTTTAAAAGTTCGAAAAGAAAATCTCAGGAATCTAAAAAAATATCCAAAAATCCCGTAAAATCAAAAAAAAAACTCTTTTTTGAATTTTAGAATCTATAAAATCCCAAATCCGCTTTTTCCCCTTGCTCTTTTGTCTTTATACACACTGCCACAAGGCGTTTTACATTCTAGCTTACAGAATATCTTGTAAGATTGTTATGTTTTAGACACATTTTATCTAACAAAAACAATTTTTTTAAGTGAAATATACAAAGATATGACTTCGTTAATATCAAACAAACAACATGTTCGTCATATGCGACTGACTTAAATAATGTATTTCATGGATTTTTATTGTATTTCAGGGATTTTTTCCGGATTTTTGGGATTTTTTCCGGATTTTCGTATTTTAATTGTATTTCAGGGATTTTTTACGGATTTCTGGGATTTTACGGATTTTTTATGGATTTTCAAGGATTGGCAATCCCAAAAATCCGCCGTTTCCCCCTTGGTTTCAATTGCTACGTACATTTTGCAATATTGAATTTATGTCGAAATTCAATAGTCAAAACTCCGACGGAATTTCCACATTGCCGAAATTTCGGTTTATCAATGTATTGCTACACTGCAACCTTCAGACATCTCATGGCTCGCTTCTTTTAATATTAACAAATAGGGTTCGAATGACTCATTTTGTCTCGTTCTGCTCTTTTCTCCGTTGTAATATTGACTTGCGCAAGACACTCCATCAATAAATAGAGCGAGTGACCAAAAAAAAAACAACAGCCACACATTTATTATTCTTTATATTGCAAACATTTTTTTTAAAATAATTGTCAAAAACTATGTTACAAATTGTGAATCGAAATAATCAAGCAACACAAGTCGTTCCTCTCAAGAATGTGAATATCCATAGTACGATTCGTTCATTTGCAGCTGATGTAACAATTACGCAAGTATTTCGCAATGATGAAGCAATACCGATCGAGGCTGTTTATTGCTTTCCAATCGAAGAACAAGCAGCAATTTATGCATTCGTAGCTCGTATTGATAATCGAGAAATAGTCGCTGAATTAAAAGAAAAGAAAGAAGCACAAAAGGATTATACTGAAGCATTAGAACAAGGTCATGGAGCATATCTTATGGAACAAGATGAAAAATCACAAGATAACTTCATTATCAACGTTGGTGCATTGCCTCCGTCAAAAGAATGTACAATCACGATCTCGTATGTTACTGAACTGGACCTTGTTCAAGGTTCCATCATTCGATTCGTAGTACCGACGACTATTGCACCTCGGTACAATCCTGAGAGAGGTGGAATAAGCTCACCAGCAGACACGAATGCTCAGTACATCCAAACAAGTCCGTATACGATCGAATTCTGCTGTCAAGTGGAAAACTTGGATGGCAACCAGATTGCACGCATCAATTCCTCATCGCATCCGATTGAAATCGATCTTTCACAACGAGATTGTTACACAGTGAAATTCGCCCAACAAAATACTCATCTAGATCGTGATATTCTAATTAATATTGAACTTGCTGAAAAACACGATACTTTCATTGCAACCATTGAATCGAATACAGTCATGGCTACGTTTATGCCTACAGAAGATGATTGTCAACGTGTAACCAAATTTGGCAACGAAACAAATGAATTTATCTTCATTGTAGACTGTAGCGGATCCATGGATGATGAGAATAAGATTGAACTAGCTCGACAAGCAACCTTACTCTTTCTGAAAAGTTTACCGATGAATTGTTATTTCAATATTATTCGTTTTGGATCAAACTATGTGACCCTATTCAATGAAATCACTGTAGTTTACAATGAAGACAATGCTCGACAAGCTGAAGCGCTTGTCAAGACTATGCAAGCCGATTTGGGCGGTACTGAACTTGTAAGTATATCTTATACATCTTTTTCATTTGATATAATCTACAAAAAAAAATGTTTTGTTGTAGTTAAAACCTCTCAAATGGCTTGAACAACATGCACCAACTCAAGGACAATCTCGTCAGATTTTTCTTCTTACTGACGGTGAGATTTCCAATGTTACCGAAGTATTAGACTTGTGTCGTTCAATGGCTTCATCAACACGAATTTTCTCGTTCGGTTTGGGTCATTCGCCTAGTCGCTCGTTAGTCAAAGGTCTTGCACGATCAACAAATGGTCGATTTGTTTTTATTCCTCCGAATAGCACTGTTGATGTTTACGTTGGAGAACAATTGCAAAAAGCTCTTCAACGATGCATTACTAATGTAGGAGTGAAATGGAATCTTAGCACAGCCGTTGTGGAAACTATTCCAAATCAATTACCACCAGTCTATGCTAAAGATCGTTTAATTGTCTATGGTCTCTTAGATGATAAGTCGATTCCGTTCGATCATAACTCATCTGTTGAACTTCAAGTTGATCAACAACAACTGAGTGTCGCAAGTATCAGTCGAATACCTAGTATAAGTGAAAACGGAATGATTGCACGTCTTGCAGCCAAAGCACTCATTTTAGAATTGCAACACGCTAAACGACCTGCTAAAAGAACGACAGTTGGTAGTCGACAATCTCGTTTCCAGGACAACGTAGAAGAATCAAACGATCCGACAATATCGAAATTAAAAGAAACCGAAAAGAAACGTATTATTGAATTGTCATTACAACACAAGATTTTGAGTCCGCACACAGCCTTTATCGGTATCGAAAAACGAACAGATGGAAACAATGCTCATATGGCTCTTCGAGAAGTACCGATTCAAATATCGGCTGATGATCAACATCTAAGACCGACTCTACACAGACTGACCAATGCAGCTAGATCTAGTAGTATCAATCTTACGACCAGCTCCACATATAGCTTTAGTGGTTCTTGTCGTGGTGATAGAGGTCTTGGACGTAGTGACATTGGTGCCTTCGAAACCTCTACAAAATCAATTTCTTCCAAGTTACGCAACAAAATTGGTTATCTGTCTGATTATCGAATGGCATCGTCAAGACGAAGATCAAGATCAAGGTCAAGGTCGCGCTCACCACCGAATCGGGAAGACTACTTCCTTAACCGTTCGAATAAGCATATAAGAAATGTTCCAACCCAGTCCAATCCATCAGAATGGCCGTCGAACGATCAAGATACCGTTCGTCACTTAATTGATAAGCAAAATTTTAATGGTCTTTGGCATTTGGATGCTGAATCCATTCGACATCTAACAGGCCAACCTTTAGCAAATTTTCAATCGATACATACTGATGTACCAGTACTCATTTCGGCTATTGTATTAATTCTACTTGAGACTCGTTTTGGTGCATTTGTATCTATGTGGCACGGTGTTGCACAAAAGGCTCGTACAATCATCATCGAAAAACTTGGCAAAGATCCGAAAAACCTCGAAACTTTACTTGAAAGTATTCGAAAACAACTGTGAACGAAACAGTCTACTCGAACATATTTCATATGACATCAGCAGCAAAAGGCTTGCTTGTTCATACAATAGCTTATTTCAAATAAATCATACTCTAGTCAAGAACATATTCTTTGCACTTTTAACTTTCAGATAGAAGGTATGCTACGAAAGAGAGTTGCTTTCTATTATATAGTATGCTCTTAAAATGTTATTCAATCTATTAATTCGATATTTATGTTATATTATGCAGGATCATTTATGTTTAGTCACATCATTCTTGTAAAGATTATTCACCTTCGAATTGTTTGTTTACTAACTGAGACGGCATCTCTGAATTTAGTTCCTCATCATGAAAACGAAAATACTTCGAGTATACTGATAACATTTATACAAGAGAGATCATGTTGTTATGACTAGTTCGACCGAATCTTCGACCATTAGAGAATTCTGCTATAATTGCTGAAAATTGATTCATCAGAAATAGAATGAGGCCATCTCATTGATATTCTATGAACTTAAAGACCATTCCATAGCATCATCTTTCATTTCAAAGATTTACCTGTTTATAGGTACTTGCTGAAATAGAATAATGTGAATAACATATTATACTCATGAAAGTTATGCAAAATTCGAATCGATAAATGAATTTTCTTGGAATATTCTAATTGACTGTCTGTATTGTACCAAATCATGTATATATATAAGACGTTTAAAAAGGAGGGAAAGAAGAAGAAAAATGAGTGGAAAAATAACAGAGAAAAATCCAAATAATAAAAAAAAGGACAAATGTCAATGTACTAAAGAATGTTCAAAACGTTTTTGTTCTTGCTTTAAATATAGTAATGAATGTAATTCATCATGTGGATGCGATTCATCTTGTCAAAATATGTCTAATCATCTTGAATATTTTTTCAGTGAAAATCAAAAAAATTACGCCGATGTATCATGAAATGTCCCAGGTAAATAATTCACTTAGCTAATTGCGCCTTCACTCCGTTTTTGTACATTAAAATTGATATAATATTTAAATTTTTAACTATTCAAATGTATTGGATGATGATGATTTCGAAGAATGGACAGAAAAATAGAGTACAATCGATAAAAATGAAAAATTAACTCACACACAAGAATTATTTTGAATGCTTCTATCGAACGATGCAACAACGTATTATTATTTATTTTGTGAAAATGATGTTTTTGAAGACGATTGTAATTGGTTTTCTAGGTACATATGGTGTCAGCATATCATGCGAACGATATGGAGAAAAAAGTAAAATTTCTGGCTTCTTTTAGAACATTACATATGATTTATTAATTATCCATATATTGAAATTATCTTATTTTTTCTGTGTTTATATTAACAACATATCAAATCAAATTTATTGAAAAATTCTTTTCTGACATTCGAAATTAGATTTTTGACTCTATTAATCAATAACACTATGTTGTTGTTATTAATTTTTGTCGAATTCATTTTGTCGTTTGACAGTTGAAAATAGCTGTTCTTTATTTTTTGACTATTGACTCGATTCGAAAAAGTGGAAAATATTTTCTTGTTTGAGTTTTTTTGCCAATGATTTTTTTCCAATAACTTTCAGTATGATGTTTGCAAAGCAATAAAAATTTAAAAAACCCAATGTGGTAAAACACCTGAACGAATCTCTATGTGATTGGTTCATGGATCATTGATTTTTATCGAAAAGAAATTCGATTGATGTTCGACTTATTTCGAGTTTTTAGAATTAAGGAAAAAAAAGAGTGAAACAATTTTCCGAATCATACCAATGATATCGATATAAATCTTGATTGCTTCACAAGTGAAACTTGAAGTCGAAAATCTAACTGCACCTTCGTTAGCTGAAATTTTTTTCCCACACCTACATCTCAAGCAAACGAGGGTGTGGGTGTGTTGGCGTCAGTGTTGGTTCGGGTGTTGATTTCATCTACACCCACACCCTCAAGTCCTATGAATCTATCTAATTCTATTCTATCGATCTACTTTTTGTATGAACACTTGAAATGCAGAAATAATTTATTTATTTTATATTAATCATAAAAAACAAGACAGCGTGCTTCAATGCTAATCTGTTGAATATCCGTTGCAGGTACTTGATCGTTGATAAATCCCGTATGAGCACAAAACTGGGCAACACTTGGGTCACTATCGAACATTTTGAAGATAAACATCTCGTCTGATCGCATTTCACTCAAATAGCACCATTTTTGAGCATCTTCAGCATTGTGTGAGACTACATAGTACGAAACGGTAACGTTGGATTCTTGAGCCTCTGATACATGAAAATCCTTCTCAACATCTAATGAACGATAGTCGCAAAGGGTCAGAGAATTCTTTGTGATGGGATTGGGTCCAATCGGTTTCCAGATATTAATCACTTGAAATCGATTCTGCATTAATTTTTCCGCTTCTTCTTCTCCAAGGACTTCTTTCACTTTCAAGGGAATAGCAGGCCCATTATAATCCACGTGGGGAAAAACAGCAGGATTCTTGTGATTCGCATCGCATTGATCAATCGAACGTGATGGACCTCGATACCGGAATATATGATTGAAGACAACCACTCGAGAGGCACAGAGACGTTTTTTGAGAAATGCAGCAAGTTCTTCATAGTAAGATCGTTGTGTCTCGCTATCATTGTCGAATTCATCATGTATGTGACCATCATATTTGTGTACTTCAAAGGCATGAGTGTCAAGATCGAAAGTATTTTCTTTGCCTCTTAGATCGTGAATGGTAACGCGAGTCGGTGTGTACACGAAATTTGAGCGTGGCCAAATCGTCGTGCTTGCATTGATCCATGGATGAGAGCCGTCGGTTGTATGACTGAAAAAATTCAGTTCTCCAGTTATATCGCCACCCATAAACGTGTCTAGTAAATTGAAATTTGATAAAATGAATATGCATGACAAAGATACTTATAAACGAGAAAAATATTTCTCTCCTTTGCTCTTTCTTTCTGTTCTCCGTGTCCGAAAACTGATATACTATAACAGATAAGCACTCATTCGAGGTATAAACATTGTCGTCCTATCTCACATGATTTGGTTGTGAGAACAGAAACAACTCAATTTATTTTATCATGCGATAAAACGCAAAACATTTTCAATTACAAGTAGATCATGTAGTTGCAAAATTCAGGTGGAGGTGCTGGTATGGATGCGGGTGTGGGCCACAGTAGGTAGCCAGGTGGACATATGAGCAACTATTCTGTTCGAGAATCTAACCGTTTGCGTAGATACAAGCTTATGTGATCTATTATTTCTTAAAATAGCGCTTCTCAAAGTTTTCTAGAGCCCAAGAAAAGAGCCTGTCGTGGCTTGGGCCAAAAATCAGCATAAATAAAGAGGACGTGGGTGTGATACTGTATTCGCTTACACCGACACCCACACCTAAAGAAGTATTATTTTATCATACATTAAATAAATATGATGTTTCATGATCATCAATTTTATTATCTTAAAGATCTATTATGATGATTCTATGTAATGTATAATATAGTTATATATAAATTTGATGTATTGAGAGATTGTCCGAATGTATTTATTTGTAGAATTAGTCAAATATAGTGTTTTTTTAAGTATAAGTTTTGTTCTATTTAAGATTGAACGTAGTCCAGTGCAATATGCATTGAATGATCATTATTAATATGACATCGATGAACTAATAGGTTGACTTCTTGTATTAGTTGTTTCTAATAAAATAAATAGGGATTGTGCTGCTTTAATGTTGATTTTCTTGTTCAAAAATGTCAATATTTACATCGATTGAAATAATTATTAGCTATAAATTTTACATTATGAAAACTGATTTGCTCAGTCCTAAAAGAGAGATTTGTAATTGATGAAAAGTATTACAGTCTCGTTAAAGTTAGTTAACTTCTAACACATTAGAGGGATTTATTATATACTTTCAGAATCAATTAAGTTTTCTTCCAGATTCAATGACATAAATTTGTCTTGAAAGTATAGAATACATTTTGACTATGTTAGTTTTTAATGCATTCGATAAGTATGGTGTCTCTTGAGCACCAAGTACATTATATTGAACAATCAATATCATCATGAGATAAATAAGAGAAGAAGTTAATCCATTTTTTAATCTTATTATGCACAAAAGATTTATTGTATACTCTTTCAATTGTCGACTTGATTCTTAAAGAAAATCAATTTCATGATTTTTATTAGTTAATAAGATTAGATATATTCGGATCAAATTAAAACTTTCGCTTGCAAACTAACAAATTTAAAATACAGGCTATTATTGGCGTGTCTAGACTGCGAACGTACTCAATAATTAAAATTTCAGAAGATTTTTTTTCGTTATTTTTGGATAGAGCTTGTCGAGTTGCATACGGAAAAAATATCTGACAGAAAAGTCCAAAATACCATTATTTTCTAGGGAAAAGCAGTTAGCATTACATTACCATGGTAATGTAACGCTAACTGTCTTTTTCTACATATGTTCGGCCTTCGTTGATTCATTTGTACAATTCAACATCGGCAATGAATTCTAAGAAATACACTTCAGATTACGGGTGTAGATGGGAATATGACTAAATAGAAGACACGTACCCACATCCATCATTCGAAATTTGTCATCTTCTTTTCGATGAGCCAAATCTCATAACTAAGAATGTTTTTCGTCTTACTTCTAGACATCGGAATCGATTTGTATTGGCTAATAAATATCTTATACTTTTTCTTAGTAACTCTATGCTCAATTTAGAAGTATTGTGCCTTTGGAGATCAGATGATTTTTCTTGGATATCTAGTAAGTGTATTTTAAATGAAAAATTAATCAGAACAAATTATTTAAATCTTATACATGGAGCTTTGAAAAAAAGAAGATATAACTCATACAAATTTTTATTTGAAAATATCGATCAGTTTTGTTTACGTATTACCATTGTTTTGCTCATTCATTTTTAATTGGGATTATCATTATACAGTAGATAAAATAGCTGGTCGTCGAATGGATTGCAAATGTGGTTCAGCCAAATGTCGTCGTCGAGTTCTCTTATTTCTGATCATAATTAAATAAAGAACGAAACAGATTTCGTAGAATAGTGCTTTTTTTGTCTTGTTTTTTCTTGGAAAGTGAGGAGGACAACAAAAAACGAATTTCAACATATGTATGCGATCATTATTTGGTTTTTTTATGCTTCATTGATTCCTTAGGTGGATTTATCAAAGGATAAATAAAGTTTTTGTTGAACAAAATAAAAATCTTATGTTTTGAAATAAATCTCTAGAAAATCTTCTTAATCTTTTAATTAGAGTGATTAATCTTGGTTTCAACATTTTAATACAGAACTAAGTATATGAAAAATCTTCCAATTAAAGCAATAGCACAATCAAATGAATTCATTTTATTGAAATTTTTCTTGGTTTCTCAAAGTCAAATGCAATCGGTATTGAATATAGACTTGTTCACTGACAAGATCCAATCTTATATATATTATTCAAAAATATTTTTGTGAAGGGCCAAATGAATGCATGTAATCAAATGAAAAACAAAATGATTGTTAAAGGCATATTTAATATGTTATGGAACGTTCGAAAGAAATGATATAGGTATTGTTCTTGTGAGGCATTTTTTTCATATTAGATAATATATGATGTTGATTAACTAAATATCAAAAGTTTCTAAATTGTAAAGAAGATTATTCAACAACTTTAATCCTTTATCTTCTGTTAAGCAATTTTCAACCCATTCATAGAAAAACTATCTATTTGGGGTAATAAAGCATTGAATCGATATGATGGTTTCAAAACATTATGCCAAGTTTTTAATCAGCTACAAATTCGAAAAAAATTAAACTGCTTTTCATCATTCCTTGGTTAAGATACATGAGTTGAAAAATGGTATTTTCTCAAGAAAGTGACAAGAATCTGTTTTATTTAGTTACATAGACTGATTATTCTGATGTTTATGAGGTTGGTGCATAATTAATACTATGAGCAAAATCTATTTGCATGATAGTTTTTGAAAATTTCTTGATTATAGATATAATAGTTATATTTTCTTCAATACAAACTTATAAAATAATATGATCTTCATGGTAAACACCTTATTAGAACGATAAAAGATAGAAACTTGCAGCCTCTGTTATGGTCTTCCTTGCCGATGAGACTTTAACAATAGGACTGAGTGATTTCGGATTGGAATAAGTCATCATATATCATCCTTCGAAATGACTCATTTTTCAGTAAATAGTTCATGATAAGTAACCTTTCAACTTTATATAGATAAAATAGCAGTATAACTGCGAAAAAGTCAATTTAACAATAAATTCAATTTTTGTGACATTCAAAACGAATGAGTTATTGTAGACCCATTCTGCATCTTCATAGTGAAATGACTTGACCTAAATTTAACCACATCGATGTCATAATTAGCATTTGTAGAAACTGTTCTAATGGTTATCTCAACACTAAAGCTATTGGATGAGTGCTGGAAGTAAATCATTAAGCAAGATTTAATATCACAGTATAATAACATTTCATTTTCAAGTCGAGTCGTACATTGAGAAAATCAAGAACATGATAGTTTTTTTGAAAATAATAACTGTCTTCATCTTGTGTAGAGATGAACATGGAAATGTAGCATTACTCTGGCAGATAAGATTTCTTTCAGAATGTATTTTGTCCAGTATGAAAACTGAGGAGATGACGCTCCTCATAAGACTAAGTTCGCTCTTTTGAGGCTCATATCAAAGTTGAAATTGGTCCAGTTCGGTTGAACTTTTAAAACCGATCGGTTGTCACCGATCTTTCATCAATTTTAAGGATACTGAAGCTAGTCTATTTTATTCTTCATCAAAATCCTAAATCTAAGTTTTGACTTCACTCTTTCTCATAGTACAATAAAAGCCTCGGATTAAAGTGAATGTATTGATTATAGTCACAAAAAGTTGGTTAGTCAGTAGATGGTGCAAAATTTCGAGCTCACTTTCTGAATTACTTTTAATCGACTATCAAAAACTCTTAACCTTTCGATACAAAAATATCAGAAAAAATTTGTTCCACTGGCAATGGAGATGTATTTATTGTAAATTAAAGACACTAGACATATTTGGGTCAAAAGAAAGCTTTCACCGCCAAACTAATAAATTTAAAATATTAGCTGCTGTTAGTGTGCACATATTGAGATATTCAAATTTTAAGGTATTTACAGCCTATGTACGATGCCCGCAATCCAATCTTTTAGCAGAACATTTTCTTCTTTCTTCTTGATCGTTGGATAGAGTTCATCAAGCTGCATTAGAAAATATGTGTTTCATATTTTGAAAAAGAGATTTAAAAATAAGCTTGCGAAAGTCAGAATTTTGGCTCTATTTCTTATTATATTTAAGAAATAATGTGACTTTGATTTTTGCCCGATAAGATTTTTTTAAATCTCCTTTTTAAAGTATGAAACATATATTTTCTAATACAACTTGATGAACTCTATCCAACGATCGAGAAGAAAGAAGAAAATGTTCTGCTAAAAGATTGGATTGTGGCCATCGTACATAGGCTGTAAATACTTTAAAATTTGAATGTCTCGATCTGTGCACACTAACAGCAGTTAATATTTTAAATTTGCTAGTTCGGCAGTGAGATCTTTCTTTTGATCCGAATATGTTTAGTGTTTTTAATTTACAATACAAACACCTCCATTGTGAGATAGATATGCCAACAATTAGTATTATGGAACTATGGAAATATCCAGATGTTACGAAACTTAAAAATATGAAGCCTAGTATAAAACCGAACTTTATAGATCATTTAATCTTTCTATGGAGAGTGAGATTCTTTTACGAATCGAGAAACCTTTCAATTGTGTTAAGCAATGATTTCAAATAAGAGATTAGATCAAATCTATAAATCCTTCCGAGTTACTATATGGAATGTGGCAGATTAGAAAACAACTTGTTACTATTAGAAACCTCAAGAGTTATATGAGTTTCAAGTTATATACATTCGTGGAACTTTAATAATAAACTTTTTTGGAAAGAACTAGTTAGTAAATTATTATATTAAAAAGTCGTTTCAATTTAAAATTATACCAGTGATTGTTTATATTACAGTCTGTATGGCATTGTATCGAAAAATTTATTTCATCTGAAGACCTACTATTGGCCTACTATTGAATCTGATTACAACTAAAAACTTATATCTTGATTCTTGATCATCGAAATTCAGATTTGTATTCTTTTTATTAAACACTACATGACAATGATCTTGAATATATGCTAGTCTATTATATTTGATAAATCATTTTTTTTTATCGATTGGTAAATATTCTATTTCTATTGGTTTGTCTTGTTTTTTATTTATTTTATTGTTTTGTTAACTGCTGTTCATTATTTTGGCAAAGCTTTCAATGAAGGTGACAATTCATGCGAAAGAAAATAATCCTAGAAAGAGCTACTTGTTATGCTTCATCGGATTATTATTTAAAAATGAATAATTCGTCTTCTTTGTTTCTTTTTAATTTCTTTTAATTTTTTTATTTAAAATCTATCATTAATATATAAATGAATTAACAAAGAAACGTTTATCGAAAGATAAAGTCTTAACACATACTCAGCATGTTCGTTTTGATACAATCATTCCCTAATTATCATGATTATTTTTAACTATGAATACTATCTAGAATAACTACACAACATGTAATACCTCCTTCAACAACAAATAATGAAACTATTGCAATTGCTAGTGGAGATACTAATCTTTCACGTATTGATTTTAAAGAAAAAGAAGAATGTACACCATATGATTCACAATTCTATACAAGCGAGTGACCTATGATTGAAATTAAAAGACAAAAAACTGAAAAATAGCATTACGCCTTTTTTTCTCTATTGTTGTAACTTCAATGTGAAAAGAAAACATGCTCAACATGATATTTGGTTACTTTCAGTAGTCAAGATGTTCATAAATAGGATTGAAGAATGACAAAAGACTAACAATTTTAATGTTTTAATTTTTAATTGCATATGAATATTTCAAAAGAATTGTATGCAAAATTTTTATTTTATACTTGTAATTAATGTTGTAAGCGAGAGAAGACTCATTCTTTAATAGCTTGACAATTGCTATACTTTATATTCATTCTTTTTCGAATTTAAATATTCAAACAGTTTTTTTCTTATCCCATAAACTATAAATGAGAGTCATAAGAACTTTACCAGGAATTTGAGAATGAGTGTTTATTCTGAAAATTTATGTTTAGTCTTAAGAAAGAATATTTACAAGTGAAACATTGAAAACTTTTATAGAAATTACGTTCCTTATTATATTCTAGACGTATCTTTAATATCTTGTCAATGTTTACTCATGTTATTGGACGTAGTTTCCTATATTGTCTGATTCGACGATTACTTTCAATAGTTACTAACAATTCTATATTACTTTCATCACTCATACGCATTTGTATCATAGATAGTGGTCCATCTGGTTTTTTACTTATACTTCATCACATAATGCCAGCAACAATTGATATGATTGAAAAGTTATCTTCATTTTTTTCTTGCACCTGATCATTTAGAAGTAAAAAATATTATACAAATATTTACAATTGTAGTGAAACATGAACATGTGAAAGAACTACAAGAATTTTATTATAATATTTGCTTATAGTTTATCTGTTGAACGTAGTTTTAAAATTCTAGGTGAGAAAACATTAGAAAGTATTTTTTTTCTACTAAAAATTGTGTTGGATAGTATAATAGTAAAACGAAAAATAAAATATTTTTTAATCCGTTATTAAAAAAACATTTTTCAAACAAGTGTACCAGAAAATACTCAATTTTGAGTATAACTTGATTGTATAACAGATCAAGCTGTTATTATGGAATTGAGAAATGTATCATTTTGATTGTACTCAAAATTCTTCTTTTATCTATCGAAGATTTGGCTAAAACAGGTATTACTGATATCGTAGTACTTGATACACTTAGTCAAAGCCAAATACGACATATGATGCTTGTTGGTCGACGTAGACTAATTCAAATATTGTCATTTACTATAAAAGAATTTCGTGAACTTACTAAATTAACTGATTTACTATCAATGTTAAACAAAGAAGATTTTAATTGAATTGATCAAAATATACTTAATAAATTGAAAGTGTTCATTTCGAACATATAGAACCTGTAGCTAGTTGTGATTTTTCTGACCATCTTGCCATTAAAACTATAGATTATTATGACATCCAAGTAAGAATGAAGAGAATCTTGTTTATTTCCGCGTTAAGTTTGAAAATGCAGTAGAGTGGAACGGATTATCTCTATAAGAGTCTAGACATGGTACTGCTCATGTCTAGAGTAGTCATCATGGATGAGTGACTATGAATGTCAACATGTATGTGAGAGTTAGTAGGTTCGAATCTAGACGCCATTCTTCTCTATACTATGTATTCTTGGATAAATTATTGAAGACTAGAATCAATTGATCATAGACTGACCAATATTCAAGAAGTTTGACGAAAAAAAACCAACCATAACTTGATAAAGAAATTCTAATCATGTGTAAATTGACAATTTTCTTTCATTCTTAGAATCTTTCTAATCGGCACGAAATAAATTTTCGGATTTTCTAATTGATAGTATACCATGACAAATTTGACATTTTGGATCAATACATTCAACACCATTAATTAATTTTTCACACTTATCACGTTGATTACTACGAGTGTTATCAAATTTGTATGCTGCATCTGAACATGTACCAGCTACATAACGATCTGTCAGAAAACTTCAAATATATGAATGTATACGAAATTAGAAAAAAAAATGCAGACAAGTTCTGTACCGTTGACAAGTATCACAATATAATTGTTCAACGTTATTATTGAAGTCATCTATAAATTTTTTTATATAAATCAAAATATTTATCACAAGTTTCTCGTGGTGTATATTTCGGTTTCGATGCTTTTGTTTCAGTTGCTGTGCTATATTCATCAATACCACAAATATATAAAGTATTGTAAGTTTTCAACCGACAATACCTTAAATTTAATATTAACAATGAAAAAATGAATAAGAAATTGTTTGATTTTACCGAGCAACAAAACATTACCTTTTAACAAAGATCCAGTAAGAATATCCAAATGAGGTACATTGTTGACAAAAAGTAAAGTACGTGTCATCAGGGCACTTTGTACGGGATTAAAGTGTGAAACATGACGTAGTTACTGTTGTTAATCACAAGAAGATTGTTTTATTCAGTCTAATTTAGAAGAGATTTGTTCATCATTCTGTTACTGGATGCTTCAGAAATGCAATAAGGAAGTAGTTAACTAGACGGAATTGAGACACAGTCTTCGACTTTATATCAACAAAGGATGTCGCTATCCCTTATAAAACGGAAGGACGAGTAAGTTTATAGCAGCTATATCTTAAAAACACATTTGTGCAGCTAAAAGCCTTCTCCATCAGGATTAGTAGGCGCGAAGGCCTCGATCAAAACCAAATTTCTCGTATCTGTTCAAAGGTTTTGAGAGAAATTTTTATTGGATAGAGCAAAATGAGATATCTCCGACCTCTTCATGAACTTCCTTCATCGAACTGTCTTTCAGGGTCTCCGTAAATCGAAAACAAGCCGATGAAGGGAGTACATGGAGAAATTGATGATACCCTATTTTGCTCAATCAAATAAAATGTTTTCTGAAGATCTTAATACAAGCAGTTTTGTTGAAGTCTTTGAACCTACTACTATTTATAGAAAATTGTTTCAGTTACACAAATGTTTTATATTTCAACAAGAGATGAATCATTTCTTACATGTTTTCATTCGATTTTGATTCATTGAGTATCGATAGTGTCTTTGATCATTGATTCAAAGCTTTCTCAACTTCTTCTGACGATCGATTAAAATCGATTTCTTCAACGGATGTTTCTACAGTAGTCTAAAGTTTTTCATATACTATAAAAGATGAGTCATTCATTTGTCATAAAAATGCATTGTTTTCTTTTTTCAATTATCAGTTCTTATTTTGCATCACACCTGATCATCACACAAAAAAAAAAATACTACGAACAAAAATAGTATTCCAGAAGATTATTCCGAAAAGTAGATTAATCATCGACAAGAAACAAAAAAGGATAATAATATATCAAGTTTTCTGTTTTGAGAAAACAAAGATATTGATTTCTTTATCAGTTTATACATTCATTGTAAAAGTATAGAAATCAAATGAAAGAATTAAAAGTAATTTTCAACGAACTTACGTTCTTGAATGGATTGTATAAATGACGACGACTCCTAATGATGAACAGCTTTCGTAAATGGATCCTTAAAAAAAAGAGATACATGAAGTCGAAATTGAAAAAATATTGTTAAATTTTTTTGGCAAATAGATCATATCAATCAAAATAGAGCGAATAAAAATTCAACTTGAAACAGCAATATGTTTTTCGAGTGAGATGATGTTCATTCAATGAGTAATAGAAAAGTTTAGAATAGTTTTGCTTTCCGGACTTTCTTTACTTTTCTACAGAAATCTGTAGTCCTACTCAGGTTACATGAAAAATCGACTTTCGAATTCAAATTTTGCATGAACATAAAATTAGTTCTTTGGGCAAGTTGTAACTTTTCTAGTTCTTTTTTTCCTATCCTGAAATATTGAATATTCGATATTTTCCATATTAACAAATCTCGTTAAGAACTTTGTTTGCGTAAAGTTTAAAGTCGAAATTCTATTTTCTAGATGATTTGAGACGAACTACATGTTTATATGCTGAAAGATTCAGTAAAATTTCGATATGTGGAGAACGAAGGTTCGGAATAACAATACTTCGACAGTCAAATTTTCTTATTCTTATCTGATGTTTGTCCTTCGATAGATAGAAAAGTTCCTGATAAGATTTTATTTAAAAATTGATCTTGTCTTTTTAATATCTAAACTAAAAAGTAAGAACAAATTTTGATGATGTCTTGAATAATGTTCGGTGATCCACGTTACTGAAGAATTATATTGAACATCTGATTATATACTGCTTTTGCAGATTGCGACTGTCCAAAATGAGGAAAACAGCTTCGCGATGGCACGTAACTTGAAGCATTTTTTCTTCGTGGACAACCATAGATCAGGATCACTAAATTCATATTTTAGAAAACTAAAATTTGTAAAAATCAGAACCTCTACTGTAAAGGCTTACAACAAAGTGATCCTTCCTGTTTTAGATATTTAATAGAGAAAATAGTGAATTTTGAAAATACAGTTTATTAGAATTTCAGATCATTTTGTTTTGAAAATCTGTACTCATGAGTTATTTCTAATTCAAACTTTCTATAATATAAGCAGATGTTTGAAACAACCCCAAACTAAAACCAATACAAAACTTTCATGTGGCTCATTTTTTCTTTTATTTTAGCTAAAAGTTATTCAACTCAAAACCTAACTTTATATCATGAAGTTAGTTCGACAGAATTTCTTATCTAATTATATATTTACATAGCAAAAAAAAGACGGAAAATCTATTGCATCATCAATTTAAACAAATAATGAATGATGAAAATATTGATTTTGTTTCGTGCAAACATCAATTAATGCAAGCTTAACTCACCACTACATAAAGAAATAATTAGTGTCAAAGCTTTTGTATCCTTTGTTATCATGATGACTTTAGAAATAATTATTGAATTGTTCATCTATTAAATTTCCTTTTGGACTTCAATAAAGCTAGTTTTGAATTACTTTAAAAGTAATTCAGTAGAAGTCACTTTTATTTTCCTTGTAGCTACGCTCATTGAACCAAACGATGGTTCTTATTTCGTTCGTTTTTCTCATGATTTAATATATCACTAAAGTCAAAACAAAGAAAAAAGCCAATCAGAATATTCGACCACCATACTATTTGATAAGCTGAACAAAACAAACTTAAAATATTTATTATTCAAAAGGTGCTTAATATTAATAGATAGACAAGAAGAAAGAATAAATAATATATTTGAAAGTTTTGACTTGATGATAAACGTATTCGTCATTTAATAATTGTCAATCCAGCTGGGATAAATAATCTTTCTATTGAAGCACTAGTCTTTATGAGCACACGCATTTCCGATTTCTTTCAGTTGTTCAATGAGTCGGAATTTTCTGAATGTATTAGTTTAATTATGAGAAATTCTCATTTGAAATACTTGTTTCGATGATACACTCATTTGTTTACTTGAATCGAAACTATTTGATAATTCATCTTCTAATAAATGAATTGGACAATTAATGTTTTTTTGTTAAATGTTTATTAGGTTCTGGATTGAATAAAAAAGTTCCACTTACTCGTTTCTTTGCTTTATGAAGACCACTAAAATTTAACCATATATAGACATATTTATTCAATGTTAATTAATTTAAAAAAAAGGAAAATTTTCAAAACGTTTAAATGCTAAGTCTAATAAATTTAGACAACTATTCGAACGTCAATCTGAATCAATGTCTGAATTTTCAAGTAATGTTTGAATAAGTGAAGACTAAAATAAAAAATTGTACACTATGAGAATCGCTTTAACTAACTGATAAAGTACATAGATTTTCTTATTTCCATGATGATGAGTACTATTCGATAATGTTGAAAGCGATGATAATGAAGATATGTGTATGACCATCAATTGAACAAAGTATTCAAAATTGTTCAGTTTCTTGAATTAGAAAAATTTTATTTAAGTAAAAATAGAGATTGTGTCAGTGCAGCTCATTGAAGACTATAATGTAGAACTCACGTGTGTTCTTTAGTCTCATTATACTCCTCCCAAATACTTGAAGTGAAAAATTTTTACTAGATTATAAATGAATACATGAGAAGTCAAATTTTACCCGTTTTTGTTTTTGAAGTTAATATGATTTTCATATTTTTTTCATCTTTGACTTTCTTTACTTTTTTCGGATGAGTTTCTTTCACCATTTCCTGTAAAGGGTATGGGTATGGATTTTTGTCTAGAGAAAACTACTCCACTGTTGAATCGTATCACATCTAAAAACTTCTTCAATATTTGTTTTCTTTTTATTTATACACTTAAAGTCATACAATATTTAACTATATAACCTTTAGTGTCAGTTGAGATAACTGCTTTTCTCATAATTCTCGATAGAGCTCGTTGAGTATGGGTCTGATCTCTCATAGTTACTACTTTTAAAGTAAAAGTCTATAATGACCGCATTCATAAATCATCACCATCAGGATGCCATGAGAAATGTGAGATAGATTCTAATGAAAATATGATGAGTAAGAATTCGGCTAACGTCTAAATTTTTGTGTCGCGTGTCTCTAAAACTTACACTTCTTCTATTTTTCTTCGAAAAGAAAGACGTAATGTGAGTTCCACAAAAAACAAAAACAGTCAATAATTTTATCATCAGTTGCTAATGATGATGGATTAATATCAAATAAACTTCGAATATTCCCCAATTGAATAAGTGGAATATATTTTCATACCGAATACTTTTCACATATATTCAAGACAATCGGAGAAAAGAAAACGAGTTAAATGTAGTTGTATTGTTGTTAATTCTTGTTGAAGTTCAATAACTTGAAATTTTTCTATATAATCATGATGTGCAGCAAGAAACTCTGACTAAAATTTAACGACAATAAAACGTACTTAATACTGTCGGAATCGTTTTCTTACTCGACAATTGTCAATAATATGAACAATATTAAACATTGATAAATGTTTTTACGTTTTTCTACTTTGTTTATTTAATTTTTTTTTTGCTATTTCACATAATTTACCCAATGAATCAATTAATAATTGATAATCAATATGTTTTATTGATGTATATTTAAGTAAACGTTGAATAAGTCGTATCATTAAATACAGCTCAATATTGTTCACCTAATTCAATGTTACGTTCACGAATCTATTCGAAATAATTTTTATTTTTTACATTATCTATTCAATGAAATAAAATTACCTTAAGATAAGCATAAAAACGAGGATTCTTTTTTTTTTTATCTAATGTATGGATCGCTTCCATTGTTGTAGCATAAAATATTCTAAAATCTATTAGAAAAAAATAAAAGTTATATTAAAAATAATATTGGAATTGATTATAAAAAAATAGTTCATTCGAAAATGAAAGTAACGATCTGTATAGATGAGCTAATGTAATACAAGAAAATTCAACTAGTCCATCACTGTTGCAATTAAAATCCGATAGGTGTCCGACTTCGATCGGATCACAAGAATACAATATGAATGATTTGTTCAGTACGGGGCTGCCAGATCTTCCGAATTTTGGTACTTTTTCCAAACTCTTTCGAATTTTGAATATTTTTTCGAGACCTGTTATTTCTCTAGATTCGAGATTTAATAACTTTGGTTATAACTTCTAATTTAACTTTCATTAGCAATTCTTGCGCTGTCGTTGTTCTACTGTAATCATTCCATAATACAATTTTGAGACTATTTATAATGTGAGATCGTTTGAGTTTAAAATCTATCCGAACTCAATGAATACTTTGTATTGTTTCAAAAAAATGTCATTAGAATCAATAACTTCTTTGACATGGACTGAACTTTAAGTTTAGAAAAGTGTTTTTTTACATGAAAATTGTCTCTTGTTATCCTGAATTAAATTCAGCCATGAATGATGAAGATGATGATTCAGATGTGAATTTAAGTGAGATTGAAGAAAGAAATAAGTATATCGGCAACAATTTTTGCACAAAATGTTGATAGAGCAACACATATGTCCATAAAAAGGTGGCATATATATTTGATAGTAAAACAACTGCTTTCCGAACTTTTTCCGAAGTAGAATATAAAACATTCCGAATTTTCTTGAATTTTGGTTAAAACATTTCGATTTCTAACTTTTCGATCTAGCAATCCTGGTTTAGTACGAGAAGAATTTCATAATAGTCTATGAAAATTGAAATACGTCGAAGGTATCAAATCTCGTTACACTCGATAATTTTTTTTCTAATGATCTTATTCGACTGATAAACAAGCAGAAAAAAATTTATGCATTCTTTTTGAAAACTATTGTTTAATTGCTGAGAAGCGAGTTCGTATTCAGACTTTGCTATCGTATCGAACAATCAAATAATGTTTATAGAAAAAGTATATATAGATTTTTTTCTTAAGTATATGACGAGTAAAAATCTTGGAAAAATATCCAGTCTGTTGGTACTTAATCGTTTTATGATGTTTTTTTTTTGCAAATATAGTTTTTGCGACAATAATATTGATCGAATCTATTAACAACAGAATATTTTCACAAGCAGCTCAACAGGTTCTATAAAATTTTTTAACTAGTAAAATATATTTCATTGAATAATTATCTTACTTGAATAATATTTAATAACATTGTAAAATTAATATTAATTTTCATTCGATTTCTCTTATGTTCCATTCCAATTAAATACTAATTATATATGTTAATATTTTGTTCTTTATAACAATATTGTCATCTAATACATATTCATTTTTATTAATATTAAAATGTTTCCGAATTTGGTATAGTATTAATTCATATTTTCGTTTTAATAGTTGTATTGAATAATAAATCAAGTAATGGACTATTAATCATATGTTGATGATGAAAATAATAACAATGAAGAAATCTGACGATGTTGTTGTTTAATTCTTAGTTAAATTAATTGTACACATGGATTTATCAACATTATTCATTAAACATAAAATTCTCCAAATCACGAAAAACATTATTTATATATACATTTTTTAATCTTCTTTCTTTGTTGATTAATACATACTTGTACATGAATAACAAATTGTTGATCTTGATGTGTATAGAATAGATATGTCGATATAAATAAATTTTTATTCAAAAGATGAATATCTTGTTTCATTCTTTTCTGTTGTAATAAATCCACCTAACAAAGAAAGATTTTTTCAAACTTCTGTAATGAATTATTTTGATCTAAAATTTTGTTGATATTTAGATATGTTCATCTAAAAAGAATATTATTGTAAAAATTTAAGTGTTTAAAAACTTCCATTGTTTTGTTTTTTTCGACAGTCTATGAAACTGAATCAACTTTTTTAACATTAAGTATGTCTACTTAAGTAATAGTTCGTCTGATGTAATATATTTTGTATTTTATCATAATAAATAAAATAATTATACATAAATGTTGTTATTGAGTATCACTAATAAAAACAAACAAAACAGTTTCATTTTCATTCCAAATGAGATACAGTCTAAAAAAATTCATAAATAAATCATTATATATGTTAATGTTAACAAGAGAGAAAGGAAAGAAAAAAGAAATATATCTGGAGAGAGGAATTTTTTTTTTTGATCTTTCTCTCGTCCATAAATCATTGTTCATGTTGTTATCATTGACGATGAATGATCAACATGTACAATTAAATATGTATATCAATTAACCTTTTTGAAATCAACTTTTAATTCATTTTCGACGAGAGAAAAAATGATTTTTCAAGGTATATATACAAATGATTTCTTATGTAAAATCATTCTAATTTTTGAATCAAATAATAATCATTTTTCTTTTTCTGTTTTAGATTGGCCTCGATGATACAAAATTAATCAAATCAAGATCAAGCCATACAATAAAAACAAATGTAGGTATCAATTTTAATTTTTTAATTTTTTTTTTATTTAACGATTATAAGGATGGTGAAGTAAGACCTCCTATAATCTTTTTAATTTATCTTTTTTTTCTTTTGTCTTCGGTTCGATGAATATTTTCAACTATAACAAGATAACAGTGGGGTAAGTTAATTCATTCTTTTTTTTTCATTATATAACATTAAATTAATTTTTTTTCTTTTTCGTTCTAGTTCTCAATATCATCGCGTCGTAATCAACATCGTTCAACATCAAAACAGGATGAGTAATGTTTTTTTTTTTAGATGAGAATAGGGGGACGAAGTTAGATAGTGTAGTATTGAGATTGAGGAGAGGGATAGAGTGACTGAGAAAAGAGTGTTAGTAGGGGGAAGGGATGAGTTATGTCCATTGAGATTAGGTCCCCATTAGTTACAGGCCTTCCGGGTAGGCCCTAAGAACCCGGTGAGGAATCGTCTTGGTGTCCGTGGCACACGACTAGGCTTATTCAGACTCATTGACATATCTCTCGCGGGGAGGGTATGAATGATATGAGTCTGTCCTGTGCGTGCATGAGCGTTACGCTCGCCACGGCTCCACCAGGATGGTCCCTGGTCGCGCGCGCGAATAGAATAGACATTCATTTCATCAATTCAATGGGATTTATTTGAAACGAAAGGAACGCAAAAAAATAATCCATCGTTTTGAGTCTATTCAATTGAAAAGCGTTGAACACAATGATTGTAATGATCAAGGACATAGAGATTGCTATGTCGATCGAAGGACAAATCGACGGGATAGTTGAACTGATTTGCTTCTGCTCCTTTACCATTGCCACCTACAATGACAGTGCCCTGTTTCGCTCCTTTAGGCCAACGCATCACTCGATAATTCCAAGAGTCTGCCACATAGATGGTACCCAATGTATCGACGAACAGTCCTCGAGGGTACGACAATTGTGTCAGAGCATTTCCATAGCCTTGACCTCCAGCGACGATAATTCCTTCTTTTGCATATTTATTCCATTTCATTACACGATGATTGCTGTTGTCTGACACGTAGACAGTCTGTTGTTGATCGACAAAGATGTAGGTCGGAACGTCGAGTTGATTGAGACCAATACCTTTGCCATTGCCGCCAGCCACAAGAGTTCCATTTTTGTCTCCTATTTGATATCGTCTTACTTCATCTTTGTCGATGTCAGAGATGTAGAGATATCTCTGATCATCCATGGCCAATCCCCGACAACTGATGTTGTCGATGAGGATTTCTCCTTGAGTTGTACCACTACGACGAGACCATCGTACAACTCGTTGATTCCATGGATCGCAAATAATGAGACTATCGGTCTCTTTGTCAATCAATACATCGTTTGGACAATATAATTGATCCAATCGATTTCCTTTGCCATTGCCACCAGCTACTACTTGTCCATTCGTATCATCCATCTTCCATTGGATGATACGATGATTGTAGCAGTCAGCGATGACCATCGTTTGATCATCATCAACGAAGAAACCATAAGGCCAGTAGAGTTGATTGGTGGCACTGCCTTCTCCATGGCCTCCAGCAACGGTCGTCCCATTCTGTGCCCATCGGGTATCAACTGGAATATTGGGAATTACTACAATGAACGAAAAAGAAAAGGAATCGTCGTCGTCGAAGAGATCCCATCTCTCGTGGAAGCAAGCGCTACAAAATATGACATTCGTCTTTGAAAATGCTTGTTTCGCAGGTAAAAATCCAGAAGTATTTTCCTAGTTTCTTATGAGGAAAAAAGGATTTAGTAACAATTCTTACATCTATGTCACTTTTAGTTCTTGTCAAGATCTTTTTGATCATAAAAATGACACCTGGAGATTGTTGTAAGGAGGTTCTCGAAGAAAGAGTAATACTAATGCCAAGTAAGTTTTTGATAGAAAAACATAAGGATCTGAGAATTTTATTCAGAATTGCAAGAATTCAGAAATTTTTTGGCAAAATGATCATTTATATGAACATCAGAGAAGATTCTATCTGTATCTTGTGAGAAGAATATCGAATCGTTGAACAACAAAATATCAAATCTAATCCCTATGTTTTTTAGGAAACTTTAAGGATACATGATTTTTCTGTATGATGAATGTAGATTTGCCGAAGAATCTCCGAAGTATTTGCATAGAGAATGCCGGTGAAATTTTGTGAAACACGATCTGAAAGGAGTGTTGACGTGTTTAGGGGTAGAAATTTGGAACCCCCCCCCCCCCCCCCCCCCCCACAGACCGTGACAGAGAAATTGTATACCCATCACAGACCGTGACAGAGAATCCCAGAGACCATCACAGACCGTGACAGAGAATCTCAGAGACCATCACAGACCGTGACAGAGAGCCCCAGAGACCATCACAGACCGTGACAGAGAAACCCCAATACCTATCACAGACCGTGACAGAGAATCCCAGAGACCATCACAGACCGTAACAGAGAATCCCAGAGACCGTCACAGATCGTGACAGAGAACCTTCAGAGACCATCACAGACCGTGACAGTGAACCTCCAGAGACCATCACAGATCGTGACAGAGAGCCCCAAAGGCCATCACAGACCGTGACAGAGAACCCCAAAGGCCATCACAGACCGTGACAGAGAACCCCAAAGGCCATCACAGACCGTGACAGAGAACCCCAAAGGCCATCACACACCGTGACAGAGAACCCCAAAGGCCATCACACACCGTGACAGAGAACCTCAAAGGACATCACAGACTGTGACAAAGAACCCCAGAGACCATCACAGACCGTGACAGAGAACATTCGGACCCATCGCAGACCGTGACAGACAAGCTCCAGGGATCATCATAGACTGTGAAAGAAGAGTTCAAGGAAGCATCAGAGATAATGCATAACTAACACATGATTGGAGCATATATGAGGTATTATCCTGTTTCAGTTCTATAATGTAAAGTAAGCCACGATGAAGAAATGTACACCAATATGCATAAAAAAGAACAATTTTTATAAGATTGGCAACAGCAGGTACATCGTGTTTCACATTTTTAATCCCGCAAGGGATTGCGCTAACAGCTTTTATAAGGCTTTTGGTAAGTTATGTGAAGCTGTTCGAAGAACAATCGTGATGTACTCTGAGTAAGATCATGAGAAGGCTTGGATACAGGCGAAACTGAACAAAGCTGAGAGGATTCCATGCGAATCTATTTAATCTGAGGGGACTTCTTCTTTTACAAATGCTGAAAAGATGGATGTCAATCCGAACGGAGTTCTCCAGTGACAAACATTGGGATCTATGGATTTTATGGGCTTTGAAAAGAAAGTGTTCTAAAATGCTATTTTTGACTTTTGATGAACACCATCTTCAAACCATTGTATTAGGGTCCTCATAAAGAATCTTGATGACTAAATAAGATACTCTCTCAAAATCTGAAAATCTAAAAATAATGAGTATCTTCTATGAGGATCATGCTATAATCCTTATGTACTTGTTCTGAGAAGCCTTCTGTAAGCTCGCATGTTATGGATATGTTCAGGAGGATCTGAAGAGTAAGTATTTTGGAATGGTTGATATCAGAGACGAGCAATTCCAACTCCAAAGTTGACGCTTTTTCTCATCAGAGTGAAAATGGAGTAGGAACAGGACAGAATGGAGGTGCCTATCTTTAAATTTTATGAGAAAGTTTATAAAGCAATAAAATAATATGCTACTAATTTATATCAATCGTCGATTTAATTATGTTGAAAAACTTATGTGTATTTAAGAGTATTTTGGCAGAAGTTCAGTTTTGTAAAATCCGACTCGAATCAAAGTTAAATTGAAGTTGAAGTAGGATCTTAAAAAATACGACTGGAGTTATGTGGAGTTGGAGGAAGGCAGAGTGTAGTTGCTCATCTCTGTTTAGTACACAAATGTCGATCCTAATCAGTACCCAGGACAACTTCTCTGGAATATGAGGAATTACTACAATGAACGAAACAGAAAAGAGATCGTGATTATCGAAGAGATTTTTGTCTCTCATACACGAGAAAGTACTATAAATGAGACAGTGTTTCTGTAATGTAGTCTTTAAAAAAAAGCACATCGTAAGGAAATGCTTTCGATGTCGAGGAAGAGAAAACTGCTTAACATGAAATTCTAAGGAGATTTCTATGTCCTAGTTTAGTAGTAGAGTTTGAGAAGGAAATGTTACGATTCTTTCAGCGATATTCAGCTGATTTTCGTATGATATAGGATGTTCGAAAGAAGAAAAAAAATGATGAAATGAAATATCAAGATGCTTAAAGTCGTTTGCACTTTAAGTTTTTTATGATAGAAGTTGAAAAACGATCTCTATAATACATTAATTAGAATTTGTCTCTGAGCTGCTCTTCTTAATTGTATAAATTTTTTTTTATAAAAGTAAATCCTTTTTTCAATTAAGCATAAACTATCATTCATCAGCCATGTTTGATACTTGTGATACAATATCATCTTAATACATTAAGTAGTTTCATTAGACTAAAAAGACTTTCATTAAAATGATGAAACCTCGTTATAGTTTTATCAAAAAAATTTTTTTTGATTTTTTCCGAATTCTAAATTGTTTTTAGATCTGTTTTCTTAGTAACGAAAAGAAATTATTATCATACTTAAACATATTTGTTAAAGCAATAAAGAAAATAAGATCAGTAATATCGAATTGATATAATATAACTTACAAATTCTTTCGTAGAATTTCTTAACCTATGTATGTTATATAAATATATTTAGTTTGTTGTTCGATGATTTTCTGAATGACATTCGAATCTACTATTATCATAATAATATAATAGTAAATAATTTCTAATATCGAAAAAAAAAAATCATTTTTTCTCGCTAGAAATTCTAGAAGTTATGAAAACAGTCTATGAGCAGATATTTATTTAGTCAAGTTTATTAATTTGAAGCAAAAAAATTCTCAAAAATGACCTTAAGTAAAAAAAAGAGATGTTCTCAGATTTTTTTAAATGTTTATAAGATATGCAATCTACTCAGTATAGGCAGAATTCGTCCAATGAAATTTAAGATTATACAGAGTACTTTTGTCTCTAATAACTAGTCAAATACTTAACATACTTCTTGGTATAGTAGGCTGATATTTTTATCCACGATTATCAAAACTGGCTTTAGTGTATTTACAGCTGACTTTAAGAAAAAAATCAAAACTTCCAAGAGTCATGAAAAATGAATATCGCAGTTTTATCAACAAATTCTTGCTTTTTATAACTAAAACTCTGAGAGTATACTGAGTAACAAGACTTTTATCTGTGGTATAAGTACGAACGAAACGACACTAGTGTGAATTAATCGAAAAAGTTATATACCGATCTGTTGTAAATACTTCGAAACAATTGTCGACAATATTTCTTTTATGAATATGACCTTTGAATACTATTTTACTAACAAGCCTTTCATAAAAATAATAATATTATGAATTGATGAAATTCTAAAAACACTCTACACATTACAGAAGATAAGGTAAAAACTAAATAAGAATTTTGATTGAGGTAGATTTGAGATTTAGCTTCTTTTTTTATATTAATATTTTGCTTTCTATTTTTCTGATTTTGGAATGGATTGTTGAGGGATATATGTATGTGGAACAGATCTCAGACTATGATATAGTTTAAGAGTTTGCGAGGACTTTACAACGTTATAGTGTGAGTGTAGTATATGAACATCGTCTTTTAATTTACATACATTAATAGCGACATTTACACCCTAACTTGAAATTATTCTCTCATAACGTAAAAGAAATGAAAGCAATCAAAGATTGGACATTTTCTCTCTTGCATTGAAGATAGACAGAACCAAGCTATTCATACTGTCTGCAGAGTATTACTTCTAAGAAGGAAATTGTCATTACAAAGTCATGCTGAGAAATAAATCAAAGATTCAAATCCTTCAATCCCGACGACATTTAATCAGATTGACCAATTTTATAGTTACTATAACTAATCTGCTCACTAAAATAGAAACTAAAGATACTTGATATGTCAAAAAAAATTATCCGACTTACATCCATGAAGTTGTTAATTATAGAAGAAACTATTAGCTGAAGTAATTATTTATAATCACATTCCAACGAAGTAAATATTCATGAACGAATTTGAACATAGCAGTAAAATCGAAAGAGAAGAAAAAATTCACAGTTATATTTAACTTCATTGTTAGATGATGCCTTATAACTCGACTTGATTTACTTAAACCTATACTAATTGTTTTTAAAAAAATGTTCTTTGACTTAAAGTATTATACCTAATTTAAAAATTAGCTTTTTTTTAAATAGGTTTTGTTTTTTAAATTAATGAATGAATCTTTGTTATCCTTCGAAAATTAATCACAGTCATTGGTGAACTCTCATAAGTTAAAATCGCATTAAAAAAACAACTACTCTTTTATAAAAAAATTTTCAAAATTGGATATATTTCAAACACTT